TCCTCCTCCTCCTCCTCCTCCCCCCCCCAATAGGAATAATCTGATCTGCTTGTTGTTGCATATTCCCCAAATGCTAGTGTAACTTTGTAAACTCAGACACAGAACTGACAATAAAGGATATAGCCTGGTTCTTCTGGTCTGATGCTGTAGCCTTCTTCATCAAGCTCAGGTGAATTCTAGTATAGCAAACACAGTAAAGGAATTAAATCACTTACTAAGGTTAAAACAGCCACCTTCCTTTCTTCATCCAATATTCCGTATGTAAAATTCAATAACAAGTAAATTTGCCAATACTCGATTATGGCTAGGATTCTGGTCATCATGGCTTAGTATATCCTACATAACAAAAATACTGAGAACCTACTCAGGTTGGTTCTTTCTGGATGAGATAACACTGGAGGTTTATGGTGTCTTTGTAGTATTTGCTTTATTTACAGATATGCAGAGAGAGGACTATTGTAGGCAAAAATGTACTCTTGAGGGCATGAGATCGCCAGCAAGAGAGATTCTGACCTGCAGGTGCTCCAGCCTGTTTACAGCAAAGTGTCTGCTTTTTCTGTTTCTGTCTCCTCCCACTGTATAAACACTGTGCTTCCTGTTCCCACATACCTGCTTCCTTCACCTAGTGATTGTCTGTTGCTGCCCAGAAAGCATTTCCCACCAATGTAAATATTTCCACAATTGTTATGGCATAAATTGCATGACAGTCTAAAGTTGTGCAGCAAAAAATTTTTTTTTTGGATCTGGATATATTGTAGCTGAAAAATATCAGTATTCCCATTTTCCAAATACTGATATGGTATTTTGATCTGGTTGGGGGGGGGGTTCTTGATATTTTTTGCCTCCATTATTCTCTATGGGGAAACTTTCTTGGGGCTGTGGGGTGTTTTTGAAGGTATTGGAACCAAAATTGCAGGGGAATTGCTGGTGTCTATCCATTAAATAACCACCCAATTTCAAGTAAATTGGACCAAGGGGTCCAACTCTATGGGCCCCTAAACAAGGTGCCCCCAGCTGTTCTCTATTGTTTCCCATGGAGGAAAAATGTAAACCCCAAGAATCTCCCCCTTAGGAAGACTATTGCAAGTTATTGCTAAACCCAACAAATATAAAACTCGTGAATAAGAATCTATGTAAAATCTGAAACCTGAAACTATGTAAAAATGAGAATCTGAAACTATGAAAAACATGAAAATCTCAATGTAAAACACAAGAATCCACAAAAAAACCCCGACCCGAACCCAACAGAAACCAATTCCAGCAACAAATTAACTTAAAAACAACAACAACAACAACAACAAAGACACTTGAAACTGACAGAATCTTACTTAAAGCAGCCTGGCAAACCAATATCAAGCCCCAGGAGGGACAGGGAGGGGAAAACTGACCTGGGAGCCTGCAAACACCAGCTCCTGATATTTCTGGTTAATTCTGAATGTGTTCAGGACTTTTGGAACCCACTTTTTGGTATCCTGAAATATCCTGGATATATTTGGGAGACCATATATTTGGGAGATACATATTCAGCTTGGTTATATCTGAGTACACATCCCTACAATAGTCAGCCAAATCATTTGTTTTCATTGCCAATGGCAATTAGCTGTGCAGTTAGCTGTTTTGGCTTTCTCAATAGGAATGGGGAAATAGGAGTATATATTTTATAAATAAAGGCTCCCTTGGTAAAAGAAACCTAATCAGAAACTGTCCCAATAGTCTTTATAATATCAGTGATATCAAACTGTATTAAATTGTTTAATAGAATGTTTGTATTTTTATTTATGCCCTGAGCCCTGATTGCTGGGCTGCAAACACTTTGGCACAAATTTCCTTTGCTAAAGAATAAACTTTGAGTCTTTGCTGGAATGCTTTTTCTAAACCCTCCTGATTACTTCCCTGTAGAAGATGACAATGATTGATTTATCACACAGGTTCCCTTACTACATAATACAACAGATTGGTCCGTGTCGACTAAAAGGTAACATATTTAGGGATAAATTGATTTCTCCAGTTGTGTACACTCCAGGCTATTTCCACAGAGATTTTTGGTCTGGTTGAATACAGCATGCCTCTACTTTATTTGGAAGCTTTGGCATGATGCCCTGCTCTTTCTGAGCATAGCTTGTGGGGTTTTCCTTTTGAAGCCAGAGCAAAAAAAACACCCCTTTATTCCAACATAAAGAGGATATAGTGTGCTGGCTACAGGGAGAGCCTTCATACAGAAGTTCTGTCCATAACCAATCTGGATGATGGTGTGAAGTGTGGTGTCACCTCCCAAATGGCAATGATAAGTTCTAGCTTTCCCCCTAGCCCTTTAGCAACTAAACTGTAGTTCAGCTGCGGGGAGGGGGGTTGCCAATAAGATTATCACTCATCAGTGCTTTTGTGCCAACACAATGAGCAAGAAAGGAGCGAAGAAGAGCGGTGACAAGAGCGAGTGGCACATGGGTAATGGAGCCAAGGATGGCATTAGCATACCCTGAGGTGGGGCAGCTGCTAGGGCCCAGGCCTTCTGGTAGAGCCCACTGCTGCTGGCCCCACCATACGCCTCCCCTGCCACCAGTCTGCATGTCATTCTCCATCTTTTGACTGAAATGGTCTGCCAAAGGTAAAGGTTCCCTTGCTCGAAAGCCAGTCAAATCCGACTCTAGGGTTGCGGTGCTCATCTCCGTTTCAAAGCCAAAGAGCCAGCGCTGTCCGAAGACGTTTCTGTGGTCATGTGGCCGGCATGACTAAACACCAAGGTGCACGGAACGCTGTTACCTTCCCACCGAAGTGGTACCTATTTATCTACTTGCAATTTCTTGCTTTCGAACTGCTAGGTTGGCAGGAGCTGGAACTAGAGACGGGAGCTCACCCCGTCTTGCGGCACCCGGGTCTTGAACTGCTGAACTACTGACCTTCCACAGCCTGTAGTTCAGCATCTTAACCACTTGAGCCACCGCAGCTCCATTCCAGTGGCAGTAGGTAAAGGCATTTAGTGTACAGCAGCGATACTGCTGGTGGCCATGGCAGCAGCAGTCACTAATCAGTGTTGTTGGAGAAAGGGTACACAGGTGGTGCAGAGAACTGAGCATAAATAGTGGAAGGGCTTACGAATGGGAGAAGGAGGTACAGGGAACAGAGAATCGGGTGGTAGAAAGGTATCATGCAGGCCTGGTGGTGGGCAGATGGGGTCCCTGGACACTGTCTGCCCAGGGCCCCTCAAAACTTAGAGCTTACCCTGAATGGAGTATAAGGACACCATCCCCATATGCCTCTATGCCACTCACTGCTATTTCTACAGTATGTGTATAAGAGCTTTTCATGCACCTGTATGGGTGAATCCTTTTTTCCCCATGGTTCACTGTGCTTGTAACACATTCCTACTGAATTGCAGGTCAATTAGGACAGTTTTCAGAATGTTCTAGAATTTGAGTATATACCATTTGTTCTTTTTTTTTTGGTAGGGTATGAGCTTTCATGAGTCACTGCTCACTTCTTCAGACACAGCTTGAATGTGAGTTCATCTGTCTTATATATTGGAAAGTGGAGTGAGGGAGCATATCCAGCCAGCGCTGAAAGCATTGCACTGGCTGCCGATAGCATATCATATTCACTTCAAGGTGCTGGTTCTTACCTTTAAAGCCCTTTATGGCTGGGGTCTGACTTACCTGAGGGACCGCCTTTCCCCATATATACCCCAGAGAGCACTACAGTCAGGGAATCAAAATCGATTGACCCTCCCTGTAACCAGGGCCAGGACTTTTTCGGTGATGGCTCCGTACTGGTGGAATAAGCTCCCGGAGGAGATCAGGCCCCTGCAGAACGTTTTAAAGTTTTGCAGGGCCTGCAAGACAGAGCTCTTCCACCAGACTTTCAATTAGGAGCCACCACCATCACTAGTTACCATCACTAGTAATTGACCTTAGTAACAACTGTAGAGCCTGGTTCCTGGTGAATTACCCTGTGCGCGTTGAGTAAGATCAATGCTGGAAATGAACACCATATGGTATGCATTCATGCAGCACCGCCATTGCTGTGATATTGGGATAACATCACTTGCACTTAATATGCAATATTGTATCGTTTTAACAAATTGTTTTAATGGTTTTAATAATTTGATTGTCAACCTGTGTTTTATCTGTGTGCGCCACCCTGAGCCTGCTTTGGTGGGGTAAGGCGGGATATAAATTGGAATATAAATAAATAAATAAAACAAAATAAAAGGTTTTGTATTAATAACAGGAAAAAAACACCTTTGGTATGATCTTAAATATGAATCAAGGTTCTTTCTAAGTGATGTTCTGAACAAGCTTTTCCTTACACTGATAAATTATCACAAAAAGAATTGTGATGCAATCATATGTCAAATCACATCAAGAGTGTTTTTTGCAGTGTTTTATCAGTTCATACATATGTATAATTAACAAGGGGGAGGGGAGTGCAAATGAACTGAGGGAACAGAATGCTACAAACTATGTATGCACAGTTTCTCCACAATAAAGAAAGGAAGATACATTTGAGAAAAGGATTAATAAATCTCCCCATACATACACTGCTGCAATCAGATGGGCAATCCTCAAGTCTGCTTTTTTCTTAAACACTCCCCTGAGATTATCATAGAACAGCTAAACTTGATCAAATGTGGTACAAAAGGTAGCACCATAAGGCAAAGTGCAATTCAAAGTGCAATTGTTAGTCTTAACAAAATATGTGGCAGGGTATGAGCTTTTGTGAGTCACTGCTCACTTCTTCAAATATCTGAAGACGTGAGCAGTGACTCACAAAAACTCATACCCTGCCACATATTTTGTTAGACTTTAAGGTGCTACTGGACTCTTGCTTTTTTCTACTGCTACAGATAGACTAACAAGGCTATCCATCTTGATCAAACAGATTTGCATTCTCCTGGGGTAGTAATATTACACAAACCTGGGGCCTGATTCACATGTGCCCATCCATAACAGCTAGCCACAATTTGTATCAAGTACCATTTATTCATTCTGAGCTAAGCAATCCCCTTCCTTCTTGGTGCCTGAAACACCATTAATGTGTAAAGCACCAGGACATGCTGGGAAATCCCAGGGCCCTGGAGTCCATACAAACCAGTCACTCCTGGAAGACTACATTTCCCAGGATTTTTGTACCTGGGACATTAACATTCCAGCATTCTGGCATCAAGTGCTCTGTGCCCGTTGCTGATGCTGGACCAAGCCACTTAAATGGGAGGGTGGGCAGGTCAAGGTTCTATAGCTATCTGGCAGGGAGGAGAAAGCTACTTGCCCCACTGATGTCATTGGGGACACAATTAGGTTTCCAGTGTTTGGAACTGAACTTATATTGATTTCCCCCTCATTTTCTGATTCTTAAATTTTCTATTACAATCGATTAATGTAAGATTATGTACCAATCAAAATGTCAATTTAATATTTTAAATACTGAAAAGCTAAAATAGTAATCCAGAGTACATTTGAAACTTTTTGCTTCCTTAGAGATAAAAATTTAGCTAAACCCTTTTAATCAAAATTTAAATTCTCCCCAATTAATTCAGACAGCTTCCATACCAACAGCACAATTGTCTCAAATGGAACTCCGATTATTAGCACAACTGGTCTTTAATGTTTTATAGGACCTTTTCATTTCTTCCAAAGTAGTGTTACAGAATCTATTTAACACGAAGATATAAAATAACTTCCAAGACAAAGCGCAACTTTGTACATCTACAGCAATGAAGCACACGGATTCACTATTTTTCTCAAATAATTATCAACTGCCAATTTCATATAATTACAGCATGATAACCTTCTATAGGTCCAGCTGTGATTTCATAAATCAGCAGACACTATAACCCATGTGCTAATGCCATGGGCAGATAGAGACTACCCTTGGGAAGAAATATATTTCTATATAGGTAAAATCTAATGTACTGGGTATATTTATTGGTTGAGCCAGATAATCAGTATTCAGGTATCATTATCCATGTTGTGCTGTCAGCATGCGATGTGCTAAAAGCCCCACCTAGAAATTCAAAGCCCCACCTAGAATTGCTATAAATGCCAAAATGAAAAAAAAAATTCCCACAAATCTAGAGCATCAGAGGTCTCACAGAATACAGGATACCAAGCATGAAATTCTTTACTTACATATCTTTCCCAGTCAATCTCTGAATAAAAACCATTTGGAGCACCATTTGTTCTCTTCTGCAATACATTGTTAAAAAAATGTAAGTTTTATTTTAAAGGGGAAGAATATCAACATTCACCGTAAGATATCACAAGGATTTGGAAATGAAGCATAGCAGACAACTTTCATAAAGATGCCCTTCATCTAGAACAACAATATTCAGCTTTATGACACAGTAATCCTTGCTCAGGTTTGAAAAACAGTTTCCTAAATGTTCAAACACTGGAAATTCCTTTCTGGAGAAAAAGACTAGGTATTGCCCTTTTAAATGGTTGAAAATCTATGTAGTTAAAAGTACTGGACTAGAATGGAGAAATCCCTGTTCAGCTGTAAAGTTTACCAAGTGACCCCAAGGCCAGTCACAGTGTCTCTCACCTTAACTCATCTTTAATGGGTAGGGGGATGGCTCAGTGCAAAAGAATTGTGGTAGAGCATGCCAGAGGTCCCAAGCCCTGGGATCTCCAGGAAAAAGGATCAAAGGTGAAAATGCTAAGAAAGACTCTTTTCATCTTGGCATATAAGGCAAAGCAATCCACTTCCACTTCTACTTACTACTATATTCATAGATTCCAAACAAGTCAAAGGAAATTGTAATGAGTTACAGGAGAAGCTTTCAGTAATAAGGAACTAAACATATTTATAAGCATATAGAAACCACAATGAAAAGAATAGATGGCATCCTCTTGTAGCTTTAAGAATGAAAAGCACACTGAAATAAGTAATGAATAATCAAATATATGTCTTGTATTAAATCGGCATAAAGAATTCCAATAGGTTTACACACTCTTACAACCAACCCCTTAGAAACTTTAAAACAATATTTGTGTCCTTACCGAAACAGTTTTTCCTCCTTCCTGTGCACACTCTGGTTTGCTATTGGAGGGTGGCTCATGAGGATGAGGGCTGGGTGGCTGGAATGGATTTTAGTTTTTATAGAAAAAGGATTAAGGTATTGGGTGGTTTGAATTTTTTAAACACATGAAATGAATTACATGGAGTAAGCAAGCTCGCTATGCACTTTTTAAAAGGTGTTATTTGTCAAGTTTAATGTAGCTGCCGACAGACCTGCAGTGTACTCTTAAATAGAGTTACTCTCTTCTAAATCCATTGAGGTCAAAGGCATAAGAAGGGTGTAACTCTGTTTAGGATTGTGCTGTTCATGTGGGAGCATTGGAGAAGACTCTGTTCAGAAGAAGAGAAACTTGATAGTTCAAAATGGGTATTCCTTATTTCAAAAGGTGCTCTTACTTCAGAAAAAAATCTTTACAAGATATAATATTATTTCATGTATTTTAGAATCATTTCCCCATAGCATCAACTGCAAAAGCCCTTGTTTAATCTGGCCACCCTAAGTCATTGGGCCATTGCACTATTGCAATATAGTTCAGTGTATCTTTTAGCTAAACATATATTCTAAAGCAAGTATGATCCTGAGTGCTTTCATACCATTTTATTGAAACAGGGAAACAAGGACGAAGGTAATGGCACAGGGGAGTAGAAAGAGCTTTTAAACCCTTTCAAGCAGTTTTTTTGCTGAAAAACACTGCACCAAAGCTGCCTCCATCCCTGTTATGCAAATACGGGTCCAGGATTTTTTTTTCCCAGTGGGAAAGAAATTAGCTTGGGGATGGCATTCTTAAGCAGGAAAATGGCATAGGAGGAAAGAATAACAAAAATCCTATTTCCCTGCACTGTTTCTGCTTCTCAAAACGGGTAGCCCAGCAATTGCACTTGGAAAAGAAGAAATGGGTCTTTAAACGAACATGGAACTATGTGAAATATATAGTTTAAGGAAGCACAATGTAATTAATAATGTGAGAGACATTAACACAGATCAACAATATTTGGACAGCAGACGAGAACCCCTTGAAATACAATCAACATTTTTACATGAGAAAGAACATAAGATAGAGAAAGATGCTGGCTGCAAACAAGAGAAAAGGGGAAAGTACAACTGTGTCCCAGTTAACACCTGGTGCTTGAGGGAGCACAGCAAAAGCACAGCTGACATCCCCAGCCACAGCCAGTTTAAGGTCTTTTGATATCTCAATCAGGTCCAGTTTGAAGGGCACAGTCTATTCCCAATGCCTCCATCTGCACCACTGGCATCTGGAAGAAAGGTGAGCTCCAAAGTGTCACTGGAACTCACCTTCTTCCCAGGCAGCAAAGGTACAAGCTGGGGAGGACACAAGAAAGCCTCTTGTCTGCTCCTGTGGCAGCCAGGATGCAGTTGGAATTTGAGCTCCAGCTAGGTTTGGCATTCCCCCCACAACAGGCAAACCCCCTGCCCTCTGGCCCAATCCGTTGAGAGATTGAAGAATGAGAGAAAAAAATGGTAGGAAGATGGCCTTCATAGCAAAGCTCTAGGAATTTCACAATGTCCCTATGATCTTTACTATAGAGATTAGGGGAAATTTCTAGAGCATCACTTGGAAGGGACTTCACATTCTCCCCAAATTCCATCCACCCTAGTCATCCCAAACTCCATCCATCCACCCTCAAAGTCTCCCAGCATTTGCTAAGACAGTGCTGGCCTAGCCCCAGTTGTGCTGCCAGTGCTGTTCGATCTCATCTTGGATATCAGCAACAACACAGAGGCAGGCTCTGGGAGGTAATGACAGACAAAAGTCACACCTATTACCTGCTGCACCACTGCCTTTGTCAAATAGTAGTGCCCTTAGCAACTGCTTGAGTTGCTTGGGCAGTTTAGGTAGGGGCTGAGATACTACTGAACAGAGGTACATGAGAGCTATACAGCCTTTACAACTTGTAGCATAGGGTTTTTTAAAAAGATATCAGTGTGACAAGACACACAACATAGTAAGCCAAGCAAAGCAGGAACTGAAAACAAGAGCATGTCTATTTTAAAAAAGGTTTCCTATTTCTTTGCTTAGAACTGAATGGGGATGGGATTAATGCACAGGAGCGGCTAGCTGGTTACACAAGTAATCAATGACCACCACCCTGTTATTCCTCCAGTCTGCAATACAAACCAGTGGTTGGATGGGATTCAGGATGAGTGATAAAGGGAATGAAGAATCATATTCACTGACCAAACAAATGCCAATATGCCCCAAAAGAGAGGACAACTGAAAAGAATGAGGTAAGATATGCAAAGAAAAATTGTCTGAAACTTTGCAAAGTCACAAGGTCTACAGCTGTTTTGTTTTCTGTTGAACAGAGCCTTGACCAAGCAGCACTCAAAGATCAGAGTTCCCAATGTGGTCTGCCTTTTAAAATAAAAACCACTTGACAGAATGCAGAGGGATGCGAAAAAAGGGCATGTGGATGCAAGCTCTTTCAAATCTACAGCAGTGGTCCTAAGCACATTTGCTTGAAAATCCATTACTTTTGAATCAATAATATTTACTGCAAGAAAACATGTTTAGGATTTGGGTTTAAGGATCTTGGGTCAGAAGTGTAGGGGGGACCAGTTACAGTAGCAATAGGACCTTTCCAGAAGATAATCTCACCTAGATTTTAGTTTAAGGGCTAGACTTGTACTACCCCCAATCCAGCACCAGTAGCATGATACTCCACCTCTTGTAGTGGGCCCCAATGGTGTCATGCTCCAAATAAATAAATAAATAAAATTGGGGGGTGGAAGGAGTTGTAATATTGCTGTACAGAGATCAGATGTTCAGTCCTGAAAAAAAAAACTCCTGGGGATGGGTGTGCTGGAGAGGGAAAGACCACAGCCTTTGAATAATTAAATAAAAGGGAAAAAAAGCAAAAGTGGGTACAAAACAGTGGGACACTACCGCAGGAGAAAACAGCAGTCTTGCTGTGGTTTGCCACTTTTTTCAGATAAATGTTCCTACACTGGAATCTTACAGGGAGGGAACATTTAGCTTCTGAACCAATTAAAAATAGAAATGCACACAGTTCTGCATGGTGGAGAAAATGATGTTACTTATCACTAATGCCACCACCTATCTGAAAGCATAATATAGATTCAACACATTCTGCACAAGACTCACAATAGCAAGGTACATGCTAGCAGGGAAAGAACCACATTTTCCCAGCAACAAAACACATGCTGAGAAAATGCAACACTCCAGGCACATATGCATTCTCTTGAAGGAAGACATCTGGATCCTGAGCAATGTAACCACTGCTCATTTATTGTGTGAACATGATCATCTGGAAAGGCCCTTAAATATTTTAATTCTGTAAATTTGGTATAGAAATGGCCTTGGTATGGCTGCTTGGGTCTCTATTCCATTGCTGAATAACATTAGTTTTTTTAAAAAACACCTGCTCCAATTTTCATTTGAATTGACACGACTGAATTTAAAGCAGAAAACTTAAAATCAAGAATCAACTTAAAACAAAGTGAAATCTATATCTGAACCCAACATTCTTCATTGCAAATTTTAAGTCTAATAGCTGAAGAGATACATTTCCTTCTAAAGTCCACTTCTAGAAGATACAGAAAACCTAAAATCATAAATAAAAGCAACAGTAACTCTGGAGCAACCCTTCTCCTATTTCTATTTTTTTTTTAGTAAAATTGACCATTGTTTTCAAATTATTTCTGGTGTTTATTTAATTATAAGTAATTTCATATCCCAGCTCAGTGCAGTTATTTTATATAGGAAATATCAAGACATTCAAGTAACAATTTATTGCCCTCCTTTGGCCAATTAATAACAACTCCCCCTCCTCGAGAAAATGGAATAAAACTCTGGATTTAAGCAAATATTTCATAATCACAAGTTATATTGTAACTTATGATTTTAATGTATTAAAATAGAAATAGGGCAAAGGGTTAAGAATGGCTTATGATGAGTCATAGGATGGGGCAGCATTTTCATCAAACAGCACTAATGTTGCACTAATAACAGTTTAATTTGATTAAATACTTACAGTTCCATCCCTGTCTGGTGATCCCCTGTAATAAAGGCAAAATTTGTATCATTAGAGCACTAATAAAAACAGACAAAGCAACCTAGGTTTAAAAATATGAAATTGTTTTTCCTAATACTTTTCACAGACCATGTTCTGCATTGCAAAATTAATAGTAAATATGATTTATTTTCAAATCACTGCAGTGCCCATAGTTTGTTTTAAGCAGACAGTTGGAGATCCAAGTAAACATAGTTTAGCTCATCTTTCCTAAAGAAGCAGCAGAGAGATACTTATACTAAGATCCAAGAAGCCAGTGGGTGGCGTATCACAACTCTTTCCAACTCAGATCTCCACCTATGAAATGGGAAGGATAGCAACCAAGTGTACAGAACCATTCTTTTTTATATATAAAGTTTTATTTCCCTCTCCTAAAAAGGAGAGAATTTTGCTTTTACCCTAGAAAATTAGGGAGGGGATATAGAGGGATAAAGAAAAGTGTTGAGTGATGTTAAGTATTAGTAAATTAAACTTTTTTTAAAAAAAAAATTAAAGTTAAAGTCTAAGCTTCTTCTGTGGTTAGGTGATCTTCTTTTCTTCTCTGTTTTTCAAAACCAAATAGTTAATATGTTAGTAATGTCCCTTTGGGGTTAGTATTACTTTTATAGCGTAATCCAAAATAGTTAGTCCCATTCTTAAGGGAAAAACAATTAAAAATGATTAAGCCTTCTACATGAACAATGAACTCTAATAGAGTAGGAAGAGAGAACTGACAACACAAGAGTACGAAGTTCCAACAGGGGTTCGTTTTCTTGCACCGTTTTCTTCTAGAGAAGGTTATTTTTGCTTGTATAAATCTCTATATTCAGTTATTCAAATTGCGGCACACAAATACTACATACTTAATGTCAGAACAAGAAAATGGCACAAAGCATCTCTGAGGTAAGTATCTCTGCAAATTTATGCATATCAAAACTATATTTTCAGCCACCCCATTATAATTACACACTTTCACATTATGATTAATTATCTAAAAATAATGCAATTAATGCCCCCAGAGTGCCCATAAAAAGGCAACTTCAATTATTCAAGAATATGCTGAGTATTTGGCTCGATACAAGATAGAAAACTAGACCTTCTGAAGGAAATTAATGAAATGAGGACAGGTTTTATTGCCTCTGATACAATCGAGTACGCAAATCTTTCTGGGGGAAGGGGAGCTAGATCAAAATGTTCTGAAGTGAGCAGTGACTCACAAAAACTCATGCCCTACCACAAATATTTTTAGTCTTTAAGGTGCTACTGGACTCTTGCTCTTTTCTACTCAAGCTGAGCTAATTGAGTCTGAATGATTTTATATTATTTATCTTGGTGGTGGATAAATCAATTTACAGAAGTGTGTGCTTCCTTCTAAACATTTTCTGTTCATACATCTCACCTTACATACCCTTTAGATTCAGGTGGGTAGTCATGCTGATCTGAAGCAGCAGAACAAAGTTTGAGTCCAGCGGCACCTTTAAGACCAACAAAGTTTAATTCTGGGTATAAGCTTTCATGTGCATGCACATTTCCTCAGATACCCTTTAGTTTAGCTTTCTCCCTGGACCACATGGTTCCATGTTTAATCATATAAATAAACAGTTCAAACATTTTTTCACCCATATCATAGAAAGAATTATTTATGTCCAACAGGATTTAAAACATCTATCTAGTTTTAATTTTTAAAATGCAATTAATTTTTAATCTATTCCCACATCCTTCACTGAAAGATCTTTTATTTCAGCCCCTCACTACCTTCTGCCTCTTGGGATATCTTACATATTACATAGCAACCAACATCACATAATGGAGAGTTACATGTATCACTCCTTCTAATGGTGAACATGATAATCTTATGATACCCAGAGACAAAGTAAGAACTTCTGCATGATTTGGGGATTCCCTGCCCCCTCCCAAATATATCAATTTTAAATTAAATGAGATTCCTTCCCCTCCAGTGGCCTAAAGTTAAGTGACCACACACACACATTGTCTCCTCCAAGAGCAGTTGATCATGCACACACACACCTCCCAGAGAGCAGTTGATCATCAGACCCAGAAACAGAATACAGAGGTGAGGAAGAATATCAGATTGTAGAGCTCCTAAGAATTTAGTGTCTTAGAGGAGAAATTAAGGTTCCTGACCTCAAATACCCACCATACCAGTTCATGAGGCTATATGCTTTAAGGCAGAGGTGTCGAACTCATTTGTTACGAGGGCCAGATCTGACATAAATGTCACTTTGTCAGGCTGGGCCATGTATGCCATAAAATTTAATGCCAGGGCCTGGAGATATAAACTGTATTAAGGACAGCAGCTCATAAGCTCCAAGTGGGTGTATCCTCACTGCAAGTCCCCATGGAGTGGTGCAAAGGAAAAACCATATGGGCAGGCTGGAGAGGCAGCAGTGCAGCACTAGGCAGACACTCCCATGATGCTTGACTGCTGCAGATGAGGTTAAGTATGGCTTAACCAATTTAACTTTCAGAGTTATATTATTTCGGTTTCTTTCTTCTGAACTTCTTTTTGTCCAAATTCCATTGGACCTTTGGGACTTTTGGGGCTGCCACCCCTTTTCTGGTTCTCGCCCTCTTCTGGATTGCTGCCCATTGTACGTTCCATACTTTCCGATCCAAATGCACTGCTTTCTTCTTCCCGATCTTTTTCCTCTGCTGGTCTTTTGTCATATGCTAGTCTTTATTGTTGTTCCAGAAACAGCTTCACTTTAAAGACAGAGTCCATCTTTTTTCTTTTTAAGACAAGTCCCTCCGATCTCTTTGAGAATCTCATCATTTCCCCCCTGACAGGTTTATTTTTCTTGATAAATTCTGGATATGTCCAATGGATCATATCCATATCATTTTATAATACATCCGCTGATAAACCTGTCCTCGGGGCCAATGCTTCACTTAAAATTTGCTTCAGATTCTCACCCTTCCAGTCTTTGTTGAATTGCTTTTGACTTGGCTTCTTCACTGCTTTTACCGTCTCCTCTGATTTTAAATTTAGCTCTTTCAGCTGATCCTGGTTGTTGAAATTGGTCATCTGATCCAACAGAGGGTGCAATGCAGTAGCTGTTATATTGGGAAGGCCAGTACTTGCTTCCGGTTTAGCAACCGGATGTGCTGATCTTGCAGTTCAAGGAGAGTACCTCAATCTTGTCGTCATTTTTTTTGCCCAAAAAGTCATTGTTTACAGTTCAGAGAAACTTTTTGTTTGTTTGTTTGTTTTGTTTTAAAAGTTACTGAAAGTTCATTTAAGAAGTCACTTTAAAGAAATCCATACTTTACTTGATTCAATCCAAAATCACGGTTGCCTCTAGCCCCTTCCGTGGGTATTTGAGGTCAGGAAGATTGCTTAAGGTTGTGGGGGGGGGACGAACTCCCTCCCCCTGCTTCATTACAGATCGGGGTTTTGGCGCTCCATATGGGCACTTATCTGCCTAGCCAGTTAGAGGAAAATAGGACTCACGCTTCATTCCATGCCAGCTGCAGAGGTAGGGAGAGCTTTGAAGTTTCGCTTGAACACTTGCTCACTCGTTCGGTGTGCGCCTCTTAGTGCCATGATGGCACTGCAGCAGCGGGACCTATTGAGACAGAGGAGCCTCAATTCCTTGGCCTCAGCCTTGGAAGAGGCACCCCTCGCACCCCAGGCTGGGAGTCCCCTACAAGGACTCCGGGGGGGGGGTCCGGATCAAGCAACTCCCCTCCTGTCTGCCGGGTCACAGGCCTCTTCCATCCGAGCACCAATGGAGTGTGCCCGCCATTCAAGTCACAGAAAAAACTGTCAGAGCTGTTCTTGAAATAGTAGTTTATGTCAGAACTCTCTCAGCTCCACCTACCTCACAGGATTTCTGTTGTGAGGAGGAGAAGGGAAAGGAGTTTGTAAGCTGCTCTGAGACTCCGAGTGAAGGGTATCTCTTCTTCTTCTTCTAAATACGATATGTGGATAACTTAAATATATAAAGATGGCTCTCAAATAAAGTAAATAACCATGAGGGGTGATTTGATTCCCTTTTCTCTGGACAGGGTACCTCAACGGGTTCAAAGCTGCTGTTTTCTCTCATATAGCACTTTACCACAGAACCTACACACAACAGTTAGGAATGACAGGGCCCTTAACAAGATGCTTATTTATACGACTAAAATAAGCTTTCTTCTCTAAGCCAACCCCCAAATCCAAACAAAACGGCCAATAAAAGCCACAAAATTTCTGTTCAAAAGTTTTTTTTGGGGGGGTTTACAAAAAGATTTCTTCAGCCTTCTTAAACTGAGGCTGGCTCATCCCCTCCCATCCAGAGGGATTCCATGGGCTCTGATTGGCTGACAGTCACTTGGATTTGCATGAAGCCAAATTCACAGGGACTGGTTCAGAGCCCTGAAGAAGAGGTGGGACATCTAAGAATAACTGTCATACCCATCTTCCCTACACCTGTGATTGTAAGCTCCCAGCTTCTACCTTTATACTATACATCTCTGAAAACGTGTTTGTTCTGCACACACATAATAGTGTCATGTTTTATGTATAAAACTATGCTGTGTGGAACAAGCCTTAATGCTGTTTTTTAAAATTAAATGGAGGCATTCAAACTTACACGTGTTGTTTAAATCATGCCTTCTGACTAAGAAGCCCTTATTCCTTATTTCAGCTGGGTGGAAATGGCTCATGTTCAAAGGAACTATCAATGCTCTTCTATCACATATAATGTGAGCACTGGCACCTGAAGACTCTGAAGCACCAAATGCTGTTCCTCTGTTAATTTCAGAGGCTACCTACAGTAGTCTGTTGCTAAGCAATGCACTCACAAGCTAGTCTGCAGCAGAGGAATGTAGCCTCAAAGGTGAGGCAGTGATAATTTGTCTCCAGAGCTTGGAGCAGGTAGGCCATTTCACACAGCATAAAAACATTATTGGCAACTAATAATACAGTTTTTCAATTTGTCCCGAGCAGCCAAAAATAACATCCTGAGTTGGTTTGAGTGCCTTTCGTTTCTCTCTCTTTTCCTTTGTGAGCAATGAACAAATACAGATCCCTAGCACCAGGTTGCGCACAGCTCTTCTCCCTTTATCTTTAAAGGCAGATTATATTCAAAAGATTTCTCAGATTTGGCAGCAGCAAACAGCTGATCACCTTGTTGTGGAAGTACCACTGAAAAACCAGGACACTTCTCCATGGACATAAAAGCTTCAAAATGCTTCGTTATCTCAAGAGCTTGCTTATCTCAAGAGCTTGCTTTCACCTACTGTCAAGGCTTTCTGTTCAGACAGGCTTGGCAGCTATAGTCTTATACGTAGTTCACACAGGTAGCTTCAATGTTAGCCTCTCAGAGAAGTACTATCAGATTAAATAACTGGAGAGATGCTGTGGCTCAGTGGTAACACATCTGTTCAGCAAGCAGAAGGTCCCCATGTTGAATCCCTGGCATCTCCAGTTAAAAGGATCAGGTAGTAGGTGTTGTGAAAGACCTCTCCCTGAGACAATGGAGAGTGGCTGTCACTCTGTGTAAATAATACTAACCTTGACAGATAGGGTTGCCAACCTCCAGGTGATGGCTTAGGATCTCCTAGGATGACAACTGATCTCCAGGTGACAGAGATCAGTTCACTTGGAGAAAATGGCTGCTTTGGAAGCAGGACTCTATGACATTATACCCTGCTGAGGTCTCTCCTCTCCCCTCCGCTTCCCTCCCCTCCCCAGACTCTGCCTTCCTCAGGCTCTGCCCCCAAAATTTCCAGATATTTCCGAACCCAGAGCTGACAACCCTATGGATCTGATTCAATATAAGGCAGCTTCATGTATTCAAGTATTAGGTATCTGAAGAATTAAGATGGATCTTATCAGCTTTCAAAAAGGGACTATATAGATGGCCTGCAAAACACCCCCAAACAACTGCCATTGCTTGAAAGCATGTTTAATTATTTCAACCATCCTTACAACATTAGGTAATTGTTTCATAGTGTATTTTAAAAACTATGCACTACTGAATACCGCTTTGTTGATTTCACGTTGCCCGTGTCAACGAGAACTGTCATGAAGCATCGGTATAATAATCTCCCTGCCATTCAGGACTTGCTTCCTTTCACCATACATACTTACGTGGAATCAGTGTCCTTCTCTTTCTTCCGTATTCCAAAGGCCTTTCTTGTACGTTTTTTCAACCCTACGAAAACAAAAATAATGACTGAATAAATCAGGTGATTTTACTTTTGTTGTAGGCTCTCAAAAGCTTTTAGGCTAGAAGGTAGAACAGAGGCTTTTAAAACACAGGGCCACGCTACATGAGACACTTGGAGTCCTATTTATGTAGCTCACAGCAGTTTCCCTCTTTTAAGTAACTCTTGCGCAGGGCCACCCTTTGGATTGGAACTGTGGCAGGAAGAGGGTTCAATTTTTACCTCCATTCCATCTCCCCAACCCCAAACCACCATCTAGGGTCATTTGTCCTCCAAGGAAAAATGCACATGTGGTAATTTGGGGTAAATGCATCATGGGAAAAGCCTCAAACTCGTCCTCTTCTCCTTGCCCTGCAGACCCAATCCAAATCAGGCTCCTGTATGCCAGGAATTTAAAAAGTGGTAGTGGGGAGCCCTGCTTGAAGCTCCATAAACAGAACTTCAAGCATTTTGGCTTTAGAAGCAACATGTAAAGGTACTTCTGGAAGGGGGATCACTACATTTCACTATTCATGGTTTAAATGTTTATTTACATAAATCTCAGAAGTCTAAAAGCAGTAGTCTTAAGAGACTGACAATTCAGTTCTAAATCAACGCATCTCTCTCAGTGCATCTTTCAAGTACAACATATTTAGTACAAATAAAGAATAAATAATTTAGAAGAATGAGTGAAAATATACTTTTGCTGTGATTGTTTTAGAGGACTATGCTGTTAGAAACATAAAAACACAAAACCAAGAGCATCTTTGTTTAATGCAACAATTCTCTTCCACCAACAGGGAACAAGTCCACAGTCTTAGAAGTAGCAAGAGCAAGCTCAGCCTTTGAAAAACTAAACCAGTGAGGAGCTGTTGAATGTTTTATTGGAAAGACCTTGTAATGTATCCAGTTCAGACCGCGTGGTCAACTTGGGCTCCACGCGGTCAGGCACAAACGTCGAGCTTTGCTCGACAAGACAATAGACTCTGAGGATCCTAACCCGCTCCAATCAGGAGGCTAGGTTCCCGGCCGAGAACCACTGTAAATAACCTATTGGGAAGTGGGGGGTGTTTTGGGTGGTGGTTTCTTGGGGAATATAAACCAGCCTGCGAGCCGGCCAAGATGTCTTGTTCCTGATCGAATAAAGTACGCTTTGCTGAAATCACTCTCCGTCTGCGTACTTTTCAGACCTGCATTTCTTTGTCTTTCCACTCAGTTGTGCACGTGAAGAACAGCTATAAGATGTGGAGAGGGACTCAAAACCTCTGTATATGTATCAAGGGCTCTTTTATTATGCTGGTAAAACAAGGACATCTTTAATGTTCTTGGAATTTGAGTACCTGACCCTTTCATAGGCTAAAAAAAGGACACAAGGTCCATTCTCCATGTAGTTATTTGATTCTTCTGATATTCTCTTCCCTATAAGAGAAATGAACAGTCATCCCTTTCCATGCTTTTGAAAATCCAAATATATAATGTCTACTTTTTCAAGAACCATAGAAGGTTGATGAGGCAGGACTTCCCTTTGCAGAAGCCATGCTGATTTCCCCTCAGCAGGTTTTGTTCCTCTATGTGCCTAATAATTCTATCTTTGATTACAGTTTCTACTAATTTGCCTGAGACAGATGTTAGGCTGACTAGCCTGTAATTTCCTGGTTCAACTCTGGATCCCTTTTCAAAAACTGGTGTAACATTTGCTGTTTTCCAGTCTTCTGGTATAGCGGCTAAATTTAGTGATAAGTTACATATATGAGTTAATACAGAGGTGTCAAACGCATGGTCCATGGGCTGCATCTGGCCCACACAGGGCTCAAAACTGGCCCCCTCATAAATCATGTTTTGTGTGCCAAATTATCAACTTACATTTCTTTTGCCAGAGCCTGTGGTCCCCCCTGTTCAATGCATTGGGACAGACCTCCACTTAAAAAAAAAAAACCTCTTTATTTTTTATAGATTCCTTGAATACCTTGCTAGTCTAGGTCTGTACCCTATTTTGTACTATATCCCTGTGTAGCAAATATTACATGATATACTTAAAGAAATTATTCTCAAACTTCTTGAAGTGCTACCCATGGTTAAATTTACTCTACCACTTGGGACCCACCTACACAGTGCCACAGGCATTGCATGACTGGGAGGCAATAGGCATAGGGCATCACCTCTCACGCTACTGATAGATGGAAGCAAGCCAACCCCCAGGAATGAATAGGGTTGAAGGACAAAGGAAGGTTAATGAGACAGCTTGATTCAATCTTCTCCTTTTTCTCAATGTAAGGAACAGTGCAAATCTCCTCTCCCACCTCAGAACTTTGAGCCTCCCTGACCCACCTATGAGAGTGTCATCACCCACTTTTGGGACACAACCCAAACAATAGGAATCATTGTGTTAAATACAGGAGAGAACATCCACACACCAACCAATTCTTAAGTACTTTTATAAGTTACACAGGGAATAGTTTCCATTCCACCTTCCTGAACTCAGACCTTGTTGCTACAGTAACACCATTTAATTTATCCTCTGGGGGGAGGTCACACTAATAGTCACCTTGCTACCAAAACACTTCCATATTTCCTGTGGGTATCTTTAAAGGGTCTGTGCAGCTCTGATATCTTTCTGCAAAGAGCATGTCATAACTGCAACTGATACCAGGGGAGGCAAAGCAATCTGCCATAATCTCCCACCTATAAAAGGAATGCTTATTCAGACTGGACTGTTGCACAAAGGTGCACACCTTAAGTAGTCTGTCCTGTCTAAGGGCTAAACCAGATGTGAAGGGACATGCAAATTTATTTACTCATATGTCTATCTGTTCATACGTAAATGGTGGGGTATGTATATGTTATAGTACAGATGCCTTCATTCCCTCAACCCCCTTCTTGATGCAACAACTCATTTTCTCTCCTCCCAGTTTTGTTCTCTGGCAATCCTGAAACTGAAGACGGAGAGCCAGTAGAGGTCTGTAACTAATTCATTCATTCTAACTGGAGTACAGTAGCTGTTCCATGAAAAAAGTCTTGTTTCACCAGTGTCTGTTAGTCAGGCCATTGATCTAGAGCCCATCCCCCCCCGAGAGTGATAAGTGTGCCCTTAACCACCAGGAGAACCTGCTGTATTAGCATTTCTGTGTCCTAATCATAAGACCAATGCCCATATAAAGATAAGTCTCCATTTCATTGCCTGTCTTGTACAGGATGCCCAGTACAGTACAAATTTGGAGTATTTGAATTGCCCAAAGCGTAACTTCCATTGATCATGCCAGCCCCTCTTCTTCTTGCTCGATCACTAGAGTCACAATCCTTTCCCAGACACCACTCCTTCTTGGCTCCAAACCTCTTGTGGTAGTATATTTTGTAGGTCCCCACCTGACACAATGAAATGAGGATTTTGCCCTTCTCCCTTTGGGACTATTTGCTGTTTAGATCTTTAGACCATCCCTCAGTGCTTGGCCCTTCAGGGGATTAGTGACTACAGCACAAGGCCTGGAGGCTTGGAGTACTGGCTTGTTAGTGGGCTTCTGTTATTGGTTATTGACATTTACTGCTTGATATTATTTTGATGGTTTGATATTTGCTAATTTCGCAGTCCAAATAATCCCCCTTGATCAACTATATTTCTGATTTCACCTTACTTGAATCTCAGGGATTCTTCCAGGCTTGTCACACTGCCTTCCCACTTTGTCACCAATACCTTAGTATAGTATGAGTCACTGAATAAATTCAGGACATCTTTAAACCACACATAGAATCTAGGCCAGGACAAAAAATTGTTGGAAGGAAAGGAGTTTGGATTTGGGTTCTAAGCAGAAAGTGATCCATTTTCACATTTACCTGTGTCTATGGTATATGACTTCTGACCACGCAAGTTATTGTGCATGGTTTGTTTTCTTATAGAAAACAGAACATGCCAGTGATGGGAAGTAAACCATGCCCACGACTTTCTGACATCTACCTCTAAGCAAATCTTTGCAAAATGAAATAATAGACCACTGAGGCAAACCAGTGAGCCTAAGAATATAGTTGCTACAGGTCAGTTCTGTAGCTTTTCTTTCTAAGAAGATGCCATTATTTTCCCAAGAACAATTAGTTCAATCATCCAAGTTGTTTTTCAACTAGGGACTATGGCAGAAGCTGATGGAGCATTCCATTTGGATGTGGGAGATAAGGTTTAGTTCCTATTACGTACTGGACTTGAGGCAGCTCTTTTCAAAAGTGATTTGTTTATTCAGCTCAGAACACAGCAGCAAACATACAGAACGACCCAACTATATACAATTTGAACCAAGGAAAACCACACACCCTAGAAGAATAATATCCAATCAATAGTGAGTGCTTGGAACCAATAGGAATTGTTCCCACCAAATGTCAACTACTGTCCTGATTGGTCTGTCTCCTGGCACTGACCAATTCTGTTGCAGATTTCAGGATACCAAGAGTCACTGGAGCTTGTGACTGAAGCTCAGGCATTCTGCCCTTACAGGTAACACAATACACAACAGTTCCCATGTGCGATCTTGGGCAAACCAAGTATCTCCTAATATAGCATTGTGCATTACGTTATTGAAAACACAGCAGTTTGTACAATAATATTTTCTTATTAACGCAAGAAATCTTATCCTGATATCAACAATATTGCAAATAGTAATCATTGTCTTTAAGATGCACTGGAGCAAGTAATTGAAGTAGTTAAGCTCCACTTTTAGCTCACACAGAAAAAATATTGCCCAGCAAACAGAAAATGGCATTTAACTACAAGGGAGTGATCACCTTTGGGAACTGAGTCAAAGGTAGGCAGCAACCTGCAAGTTTGGCAGCTGCTTGACTGGACAGCAATATAACTGCAAAAAGGTTTTCTTAAAACGATCATTAATGTCTATACAGAACAGTGCTTTATGTGCACACACACATGCTGGATGATCCTGACTTTGTTTAATAATAACACCATCTAGCCTCGTTTATTATCAGCCAAAGCAACATGTGCTATAAACTACAAAAATGCTCGTTCGAACAA